ACTGGCAATAGTCTTTGAGCACTCCTGGAGAACAGGAGAAGTCCTAGCAGATTGGAGGAGGGCAAACACTGTCCCCATCTTCAAAAAGGGGAAAAAAGAGGATCCCAACAACTATCACCTGGTTAGTTTTACATCAATACTGGGAAAGTTTCTAGAACAGTTCATTAAACAGAGAGTCTGTGAACATTTAGATGGCTGATCTCTTTTTTTGATAAAATTACCAGCTTGCTAGATGAAGGGAATGCTGTGGATATAATATATCTTGATTTCAGTAAGGCTTTTGACAAGGTCCCCCACGATATTCTTGCAAACAAGATAGTAAAATGTGGGCTAGACAATACAACTGTTAGGTGGATTAATAATTGGTTGACTGACTGAACCCAGAGGGTATTCAGCAATGGCTCCTCTTCATCCTGGAGAGACGTAACCAGTGGAGTGCCACAGGGTTCTGTCTTGGGCCCAGTGCTATTCAACATCTTTATCAATGACTTGGATGAAAGAAAAGGGGGCATGCTTCTCAAATTTGCAGATGACAGCAAATTAGGAGGAATAGCTAATACTCCAGAGGACAGGATGAAAATTCAAAATGACCTTAATAGATTAGGAAGCTGGGCCAAAGCTAACAAAATGAATTTCAACAGAGAAATGTAAGGTACTGCACTTAGGGCAAAAAAATGAAATGCATAGATATACAATGAGGGACACCTGGCTGAATGAGACTCCATGTGAAAGGGATCTAGGAGTCCTAGTGGACCACAAGTTGAACATGAGTCAACAGTGTGATGCAGCAGCTAAAACAGCCAAAGCAATTTTAGGCTGCATCAATAGAACTATAGTATCTAGATCAAGGGAATTAATAGTGCCACTGTATTCTGCTCTGGTCAGGCCCCACCTGGAATACTGTGTCCAATTATGGCACAATTCAAAAAGGATGTGGAGAAACTGGAGCGTGTCCAAAGGAGGGTGACCAAAATGGTGAAGGGTCTGGAAACCATGTCCTATGAGGAACGACTTAGGAAACTGGGTATGTTTAGCCTGGAGAAGAGACGGTTAAGAGGGGATATGATAGCTGTGTTTAAATATTTGAAGGAATGTCATATTTAGGAGGGAGCAAGCTTGTTTTTCGCTGCTCCAGAGACCAGGACCCAGAAGCAAGCTACAGGAAAAGAGATTCCACCTCAACATTAGGAGGCACTTCCTGACAGCGAGAGCTTTTCAATAGTGGAACACATTCCCTTGGAGAGTGGTGGAGTCTCCTTCTTTGGAGATCTTTAGATAGAGGCGGGATGGCCATCTGTCAGGGATGCTTTGAGTTTGAGTTCCTGCATGGCAAGGGATTGGACTAGTTGGCCCTTCTGGTCTTTCCAACTCTAAGATTCTATGATTCTAAGCTTGATTCCACCAATGCTCAATTTTTAACTGCTTTTGAAATTAATACCTGTTTTACTGAAATAGAATCCCAGACAGACTCCTAAGACCCCGCCTTTTTTTTCTCCAAAAATGGAGACCAGCTGGGTCAAGAAAGTGCCTGTGCAAGTTTTGCACTTTTTTTGTGAAAAATAACAGGGATGGGCAACTTCTTCAGGTCCAGAGGCCTATCCTCTCTCCCTCCCCACACACTTTTTAAATGGTCTGGCTAAATATAGATGGTACCTGACAGAGTCAATGGGATGCATGTGGCCTGTGGCCAAATGTAGCAAACGATTTGGATAATAGTGTATCCAAATATATTCAGAATA